GAGGGGGGGGGAGGGTGGTCCCCCATCAGGCGTTTTCTAATGGTTTGCGCATCCACAATCTGTTTCGGGGGGTCCCAAGGACCCCCCTCAGATCTAGCCGCTACCGCCCCCAAAACCCTCCCCTCAGAACCCTCCCCGGACCTCCCCGCGACCGCTCCAAATACCCCCCCAAGAGGAGAAGAAAGAGGACCGGAATAATCGAGGAGGAAGGAGGCCACAGCCGCGAAGATCACCGAATCCGCAGCCCCCCGGATCGGCGGCACTGGTTAGAGGTCATTACACGCTCCAGGCAAACCATCCTCCACGGGCACTGCCGCGGGGCTTGGCTTCGCCGCTGCATACTCACTGATCTCAGCCCTCGTCTGGGGCAAGACACCGTGGGGTAAGGTCTCGAACCTTGGGGCGGCACGCGGGGAAATGGCCCTGGCGAGTTCTGCGCAGCTGACCCGAACCCGCTGTCTTGGCCTGACGTCACGGGCAGGGGGCTTCGAGGCTCGACGTTGGGCGGCCGTGCGCGGCCACTGCGCCACAGCTGCAACAAGAAACGACGAATTTGGCAGGGGTCACTCGCTCTTCTACTTCAGCCTGCAAGAGGCTGTGGCCTCGCCACCGAAAGGTAGCTTGAGCGACCTCCTCCCGCCCCACCCCGGCCCCCTGATCCCCAGGCTCCGCCCCCTGATCCCCCCCTTCCTCGAGCTCTTCGGGCGGTGGCTTCGCCGGTGGCCCTGTTCCACTGCCGCCCTCCGCCCTGGTCCTGAAATACGCTTCCATCAAATCCTCGTGATCTGGCGCGTCACCTAGCTGAATGTGGACTTCGGCGGCCCATCCGGCCGCCTCCTGGGCCAGTTCTTTGCACCCTCGCCAGAGCTCACAAAACTTGGGGCCCACTTGCTGCATCGAGGCTCCTGGTTTCGCGAAGCGGTCCGCGGCGCCGTTCCCTCCCACATCGTGGTTCGGCCCGCGTCGATGTCAGCTCTCGTGCAGTGGGCCTTCCTCTTCAGAGCCTGTTTTTCTCCACCCGACAGGTTGGAGTCGTTAGATTAAGAACAAGCGTCCTGGCCCGCCCGCCATGCATACCGTGGCCGCCAGGTCCCCAGGCTCCCGATAATCTCTGGTGGTCCCGCCCCCCCCTGCATACCGCGGCCGCAAGATCCCAACGCATGCTATGGGCTATAGGGCTATAATTAGGGCTATTGGGCTATAGGGTAATAGAGCTACAGGGCTATAGGGTAATAGAGCTACAGGGCTATAGGGCTGTAGGGCCATAGGGTATAAAGGTATCGGGCTTTAGAGCTATAGGGCTATACGGCTACAGGGCTATAGGGCTATTGAGCTGTAGGGCTATAGGGCTATAGGGCTATAGAGCTGTAGGGCTATAGGGCTATAGGGTTATTGGGCTATAGGGCTGTAGGGCTATAGGGCACCCCCGGGCACCCGAGCACCCCCCGGCACGCCCGGGCACCCGGGCACCCCCGGGCCTCCAGGCACCCGGGCGTGCGGCGAAAATCGGCGGCAAACCTTACCTAACCATATGAATCTGCTAGGACCTCTACAGAGACAAGCTCTGATGGGGGAATCACATGGCACACAAAACCATCACATACTACACCATGACAAAACAATCCACAACATAGCAGAACAACACAACACATATTATTACATACCGTGACACATCATAACATGACAGGGCGCGGCATATAAAAAACACACACTCATACCAATGCATCGCACATCATAGCACCATAAGCTATGACATACAGTGTCACACATAACATAGCATAACACCACACCTCACAACACAAACAAACATAACATACTATGACACACCATGCCCGACCACATCATATCATAACATAACATGGCAGAACATATCACACCGTAGCACAATATCACAGTACGTAGCAATCCATAACATGACACATCATTCAATGACAGAGCGCGGCACATCTTTCATCTTTCCAATGAGCGCGCGCACCTTCGGGATCAAACGCCGAAAATTTCGGTGGGGAAAATTCGAAGCAATACAAATTATTTTCCGAGGCAACGGCCGTCATAGGCCCTGCCCCACCCCCCCAAGGTGACGTCACGTTCCGCGCCGGCGGCGTCCAGAAATGCCTAAGGATGGCAGAAGCCAAGTAGGGGCAGCATGTAGGTGGCGATCTGCACCTTAGCGCTTGTGTACACCACAATGCTCGCGTGCACCACCGCGCGCGTGTACACCACAACGCCTGCGTACACCGCAACATACATGTGCAACGCTGTGTACACAACAATGCTTACGTGCACCGCAGCGCCTGTGCACACCACAGCGCCTGTGTACACCACAGCATCCGCGTGCAACGCAGCGCTGGTGTAAACCACAACGCCTGTGTGCACAGGAAAGGAAGAAGGACCATGTAGGTGAGGATCTGCTGCAGACAACTGCTGTAAACACCACGCCAGGGAAGCGCAGATACTACAATGCGATGTTATTCCCTCTTCCCCCCTCCCCCTCCTCCTCATCCACCTCCTCTTCCTCCTCCTTCCTCACCCTTCCCCCCGTCGTGCGGGCCGGCGCTACAGCGCACGTGCGCATCTCAGCGTGCACCGCAGAATGGTCTATTGAATCAGTCCACTTGGTTGTCGGTCGGCCACTTCTGCGGGAGCCTTCGAGATGCAGATGGGAAAACTTCGGATGATGCGGGGGAAACTCGGGAAAACTCGTAGATTCCATCGGCGCTCGCCCCGATCTTTCCGAACGGCCGCCGGAGGCCCGAATCATGGCCCGAGAACTACCGGAAACCCAGATCTCCGACGGCATGTTTTTCCGATCCGATAGCTTCTCTTCGATTCCGGCCTCCAGGACTGGTTATCGGGCCCCAGGGCCCTCCACCACCTGTCCAGGGCGAAGACTGCACCTGGGGAAGTGGTCGAGACTTCTGAGGCCGCGGACTGAAAAAAACGCGGATGCTTGGAGAGTCGGCTCGGGTCGGATCCTGCATCGAATCGGACGGCAGCCAGGATGCCCAGCAGCACCGTCCGAGGACCGGGCCGCACCGGATCGTCGGAGCACTGGGAGTCGAGTCGGATCGAGCTGGCCGAAGTCTATGTCGAGTGGGATCGGGTCGGGTCGGAATGGGCCCTGGGGCGGGTGGGCGGCAGTCTCCTCCTGGAGTCTCGAGTTCATCAGGCTGCGCACGCTGGACGCGAAGAAGTTGGTCGAGGGGCATGTCCATCTGTGCCCTCTTCAGGGCGAGAGCGATGCCACGGTGCGGTTGGCTCAGGGAGGGTCCCAATAGATGTTTGGAGTATATAGCGGCCCGCATCTCTGGGCGTCTGCGTCGCAATCGCGACATCTTGCTCCTCTGAGGCGAGCCGACAAGCTGGTGGACTTGCAGAAGAACCCATTGGGTCGATCCAAAAGATACCTTCCCAAAAGTCCGAGGCTCCGACAAGCATGGGAAGAACGGCAGGTCTTTTGCAGTTTTCGGCCTCCGGAGCCCTTAATGGGCCCCGAAACCATCAAAAACGACTCGAGATGAAAAGCCGGCCCAAGGAAAGTGGTCCAGACCTTCGTGTGTCCACGCATCGAAAAAATTGGAACACTGGATATCTGGGTTGGGCATCCTTGATCCCATCTGGTGGCACTCTTGGTGCGGCTTGGGGCCATCTGGGGCCGTCTTGGGCCCACTGGGCAATTTCGAAGCCTTCTTGCAGCTCTCTCAGAAAGCTGCTCAGGGCTCTCCAAAGCCGATACTGGGGGCTCTCTTGGACGGTTTGTAAGCGTTCGGATGCTAGGGCCGACGGTGGTGACCCACTCGCTCTTTCAATGAGTTCTGCCTCTTGCAGGCTGTTTGGGGTGTCCTCGGCTCTCTTGGGGCTTTCCCAGGCCGTGTCGGGGCCATCTCTGGTTGTCTGGACGACAACTTTGGGCTATCCTTGCCGTCGTGGCGGCCATCTCGGAGCATCTTGGTGGGATCTTGGGGCCACCTTGCCAGGCTTGGGCGGACGGGAAGCCATCTTGGGGCGCTCGGGGATGACATGGGCCACCCCCGACAAACATCTCCATTTGCAAAGGAACTTGCACACACACCGACGACAGTCGGGCCGAGCCCGAGCACAGCGGTCACAGTGCCTGAGACGTGAAATCGATGAGAAAGATGACAAAAAAACCAAAGGATTGCAAAACAACCTTCGAAGGATTGCAAAAAAAACAGGTTTTTTTTTGCAATCCTTTTTTTTGCAATCCAGGTTTTTTTGTGCAATCCTTCGAAATCGATGAGAAAGGCTGTGAATCAGGCTGCTTGTGCACGGTAATGCCTCATGGGGCCCATGACGATGCCCTCTCGCCATAAGGGGGTCGTCCAGCCCTCCGCCGTGGATCTGCCCCCCCTAACGCGCAGCTCTGGCGGCAGAGCCACGAGGCTGCTGGATGCTATTCGCTCTCTCCTCGATGCCATTCAGGGCGTTGATCATCCTCAGCGCGCGCCGAGACAGTACAGCACTGGATGGGCTGTGGGGTAACATAAGCAAAGCGCAATCGAGGCCTCGGCTGGCAGATCCCGCAAGAACTCCTCCTCCTCCTCCTCCTCCTCCTCCTCCTCCTCCTCCTGAGTGGGAATGCGAGGGGGGGCACTGGCTCGTGGGGGGGGAAACCTCAAGCTGGAGTCTACGATGCATCGCCGATGGATCGGTGATAGGGCCCTGGTAACAAATCCGCACGCTCGCGGAGTGGGCTATCGGGCCACAGTCGGTGGTCAATGGGCGAGCGGGGGTCGACGCGCCTCCTCCCTGAACCAAATTTATCCTCCCTGACGTTGCTCCTGATCTTCCTCCTCAAGTGCCGGGGGGCGGGCGCTCGCCAATCGAACACCAAGCACCGAGGCTCTGGGGTTCGCGGGCGATTACCTGCTCGCTTGAGCGTGGCAGGCGTGCTGCCTGCTGCGAACGTTGGGGAGGTCAATCTGACTGTTTTCTTCATCGGGCTCCTCTACCTTGTGCATGCGCATCTTCTTGCCTGAGTCCTGAGACCTTGGCCAGTGAGAACGTACGGTCCAGGCTCAGGTCCTCCACGCACTCACTCGCTGGGACCGCCACTTGCGATGTCCTCGCCCTCTCCGACACCTCTATCAGGTCTGCCCCGAATGGCGGGGCAAGGCGCCCAACAAGTGTCTGGTTTTCCCGGAGGCTGCGCCGCGGATGGTGATGCGGCCACCGGATGCTCCTAACCCTTCCCGCGATCTTCAGACAGCAGGAACACTCGATGCGCGGTCTCAGGAAGCCGTGCAACATAGTTCTCACTAAACAATCATGAGCCAAGTACCCTCACGAAAGCGTCCTTATCAATCGGTCCTTCGTAAAAGAATGCTGCATAGTCATCGCGGAATAAGCCCCAATTAACTAGAACACCATGTCGAAAGAGCCCGGACTGAAACATCCGGAAACCTAGAAATCACCGCCGAGTAATCCGCCATAAGCAGCCTTCACAAACTCTCCCAATATAGGAATCCCTGCCAATATGGCTCAAGAGGACCCCGCGATGGCTCGAAAGACGCGGAAAAGAACGGCCCGCGGCGCGCCGCTCCCCCTCCAGTAGCACACCTGGTCGCTGACCGGTCGAGACGTCGGGCGCGCGCCGAGCGCCGTCCGCGCAAGACCCAAGAAGCGATGCTCTCGAGAGGGGCCGGTTGAACCTGATGTGCGGGGCGGAATCCTGAGCGGTCTTCATGGTGGCGATCCTCTCGGACAGTGCCTTGCCCAATGCCGCTCGTTCGTGCAGCTGCAGGCGTCCGCCATTGTCGCGGGCTTCGGCCAAAGGCCCATTGCGATGGCGAGCGCCCTGGCGAAATCACGCGGCGGTTCATGGCCCAGCGCGCTGGCGCCATCATCCACTGCACATTGTGGGATTGCTTGGACTTGTCGAACCTCGCGCTGAACTTGTCGACCAACTTCCGGACATGCGTCTTGACTGGGCCACCGCGGAATTCTACCCTGACCGCCTCTGCGGCGCAGCGCCCGCATGGGCCATCTGCTTGCTTTGCACGCCCTCGAATCATTTCGAGAACTCACACTCGAACTCCCCATCGCCCGCCCAAGGTGATCCGTGAGGGCGCCTCGAAGGGGCAATCCATGCATGGGGGGATCTGGCGATGCAACAGGCTGGCGCCCGGCGGCGACGGCCCTGACCAAGGTGGGGCCCCGGGCCTGGTCGACCATGTCAATGAGTGCTAGCTGGTTCCAAGCATATCGGCCAACATGGAGAGGTCGACGCCGACGGAGTCGTCGAGATCTCGATCCAGCCAAAAATCGCCCAGGTAGGTGAGGTAGCGGGCGCTGATGCGCAGCGCGCGCTAGGCAATGGGGGCGCATCGCTGCCTCGACTGCTCGCGAAAAAGCTCCCGTGATCCGAGTCGATCGGGCCAGCGAACCGTTGGACTGGTGCACCGTGCTGACGTGGGGCTGCATCGCGGCGGACTTCAGGTTTCTGCTCGTCCGCCGCGGTCGCCGGCGGCCCCTGCGGTGCCGCGGCCGTCTGCGGTGGCATTCTCGCGGCAGAAGTCGGCTGAACATCGAGTGGTGGCCCTGGGTTGGGTCGCCCCAGCTGCTCGGCCAACGCCTGCGCCAACTTGTCAATGCAGTTTTCGCCGCGCTTCGCCTCGCGCCCGCGAGTTTCGAGGCGTCAAGGCACGCGCGCGTCGCGGCGTCCAGGGGGGCGAAACCATGTGCCCCGAGACCGCCCTCTGGGCGGCGAGCACTTCCGCGCGGTTTGATTCTTGTCCGCCACGGCGCCTCTGGGCATGGAGTGGGCGCGCCCTCGGGCCCTTTGCCCGACCCCCCGTGCCTCGGCCCTCAGCTTTGAGGAGCCCGTGAGGGCCCGGGGCCCAAATTCCGAAATCGACCGGGGCATGTCCCGCGCCCCCCGGGGCCCCCGCGCGACCTCTCCGGGTCCGAGAGAGCCCCGGGGCGGGTCGAGAGGGCTCCCGGAGGCCGTCGCGACGGTCCGAGGGAACCCCGACTCGCCGCGAGATTGTTCCAGGGCGCCCAGGATCATAGCCTCGAGATGGCCCGAGAGGCCTCCAAGACGCCCCAGGAGGCCCCTCAGGAAGGCGCCAAGAAACAAAGCTGCGGATTGCCCAAAATGTTTCTTGCAAGATTTGGGGCCCAGAAAGCCGACGAGGCCTCCGGGAGGCCCTCGCAATACGGTCAAATAGCACCCCGCGACGGCCCAAGAGGCGCCCGAGGCGGCCCGAAGATCGCGCCGAAAGTGGCCCGAGAAAAAAGGCGAAATGAAAATCCTTGCCTCCCGCCGCAAGACGCTCCTGGGAGGCCCCAAGGGGCGCCCAGAAGGCTCCAAGAGGTCCCTAACACGCCCCCCCAACAAAAATCAAGAGGCCCACAAGACGGCCCCCAAGAAGCCTTCAAACTGCCTCCAAGAGGCCCCCGAGAAGCGACCAGGCGGCCCCCGCGAGGTCCCAGCGAACATCCAGCCTCGCGCCCGCGACCCAGGCGCGGCGGCGGGGCGGGCCGAAGGCCATTCGATAGGACAGCAGACGCGGCAATGGTGTCGACGGTGTTCATGAGAAAGCAACTGTGATGCACCTTTGGCGTAGCATCTGTCGGATGTGCTTCTCCATCTTGCTGAGAGCGACGACCCGGGGCCAGTTGTAGCCAAAAATACGAGGTCGTGCTGCTGATCCTCCTGTCCGTCTCCATGCGATAGAGAGGGCGCCTTTGGGTTTGCGGCGCCACTCGTCGAGCGCCGCGGCAGGTCTTGTGCATGGCGCCCCAGGAGATATCGCGGTCTTGGCCGCGTCGGGAGGTTCGCCGGAGTCCGAAGACACAGTCCAAGCATAATCCGAGGTGGCAGCAAGACTCGCTTGCGGAGGCTCCTCGCGATGCGCATCCAGATTCCTGCTCCAGGCGGCGCGCAGTAGGTGGTTTCTCCTGACCGTCAGCGGGTCAAACCTGGCCCGCAGCGCCAAGATATGATGCGCCAGTAGGCAAGCAAGGGCAGTCGTGATCGCGGTCAGGAGCCCCGATTTCAATCGTAGTCTCGGGCCTCTTGGAAACCTTGTCCTCCTTCTTGGCGTTGATGAGCTTATTGGTGGGCTCCAGTGGTGCTCCAGTAGTGGCGGCGTCCGTGGTGGATGCCGCAGTGCTCGACTTCTTGGATGCGGTAGTCCTCGATGCCGTAGTTGCCTTTGATGGCGGGTCAAACTCGCGTCGAGCCGACTTTGCTGGCTTCGCGTCCTCGCGCTAGCGCTTGGGCCCGGCCCCCAACGCGGGCGATGCCTTTCGAAGGGGGGGGGGCGCTGGCTCGGAAAGTCGAAATCCCCGCCGATGAGAAGACCAAGCGCAGGACTTTCGACCGCGCTGAAAACGAATCCGCCGACCACTCGGGGTCAAGGCGCGTGAGATGACCCCCCCAAACCCCTCCCCTGGGGGTCAGTTTGGATGGGTGTCGGGGCGGGTGGGGGGTAAACCCATCATCCGCGCATTTGGGGCCTCAGGTGGCACCAAAACGGGCCAAAAGGTTCCAGAGGTTCGCGGATCTGTCCAAGAGAGCTACGAATCGACGAGGAATCGCCCCACAACGCCGAATATTGCCTCCATGCGGCTCCATGGGCCCCAATGACTTTCGAAACAATATTACGAGGCGCCCCGGCAGACGCAAAAATCGCCCCATCCCCTTCGGGAAAACGTGCATTTTCACTACAATCGCCCATTCGGCTTCTGCGCGACGCAAAACGGCCCAGAAGCCTCCAAGAACGACCCTCGCCAGCCCAAGAAGCTCCCAAAACAAAAGCTCCACGCAGCGTCCGGGCGGTCCACGAAGGCACCAGAAACCATATCAACGGCCTAGGAACGCCGCAGGACGGTCCCAAAAGGGCTCCACAACGGGCCAAAAAGGCTTCCAAAAGCTGTCCGGAAGGCCCGCGCCGGGGAAGATTTGGTCCAAACCGCCCGAGATCGTCGCTGGGCGGCCCCATGGGTGTCCAAGACGTTTGAAAACGCAACCACGAGGCGCTCCCAGAAGGCCTCCAGAAGCAAAAACCGCCCCATTCCCGAAGCAAAACGAACATGTTCAGCGCATTCGCTTTTTGGGCTTCCACGATGCCCAAAACGGCCCCATTCACCCCCAAGAGCGACCCCTGTCACCCGAAGAAGCTCCCAAGAAGGCTTCCGGGCGATCCACGAAGGTTCCAGGAACCATAGGAACGGCCCAGGAAAGCCGCGGGATAATCCCAAGAGGGCTCCACAATGGGCCAAGAAGGCCCTCAAAAGCTGCCCGGGCGGCCCGCGCGGGGGAAAATTCGGTCCAAACCGCCCAAGATTGCCTTCAGACAGCCCCGTGGGTGTCCAAGACGTTTGAAAACGCGACCACGAGGCGCTCCAAGAAGGCCTCCAGAAGCAAACGCCGCCCCATTCCCCAAGTAAAACGAACATGTTCAGCGCGTTCGCTTTGTGGGCTTTCAC